GGGGGGGTCCGTACATGTTCCCGAATCCTGCTCTGACATCTGAGGCCTGTTCTGCGCTCTCACCCCAAGGGAAATGTCAACAATACAGTAAGTGGGGGGGGGCTTTCCTATTAAACTGTTCCCGTCTGACCAATGGAAACCCAGACTTCTTTAAAAAGGGCTAATAACCTACTGTTTGCACGTCAATTCTTTCTAAAAGTCCCAGTCCTGACTGTCTGTACTATTCACCAGAGCAGGGTACCTCTCTCTCTCTGTCTCCCCGTTTCTCTCCCTCAGCACAACCTTCCACACCCCACAGGTGTCAGAAGTCCTGTCCCCACAGGCGAATGACGGCAGAGAGGTTACTGTCCTCTCAGCAGATCCGTATCCTTTGATTCTAAACGACGAGTCGGGCGCCCTGCATGAGCCACCCGCTCATCGCGGCTCTGCTGCAGAGCCCTCCATTTGCTTCCTGCCCAGACCCATCGGAAAGTGGCTTTCTGTACCACGGCTGGCCCGTCGCTTCACCGTAGCGCGGCACCCAACATAGCTGCTCTGGAAGCAGACGGTTCCCCACAACCGGGCCAACGCTTCAGGTCTCAGAGTTCCTGTTCAGTCCGACTCCGCACCACTGATTACTGGTGTAAAGTCCTATAATTTACTGCTAAAGGCAAGTAAACAGCTTACTCTAATGCAAACTATTCATAAGACTTTGTAAGAAAAGAATGGATTTTTTCCTGTTTTATAAAGGTGTTGTGTGTAGAGGCCCTATATTGGTCACCAAGACAGGTCGTATTGAGTCAGAAGCCTTCTGTGTAAAGCAGGAATCCATCGCAGGCACAGCTCTCCCATAGTCCACAAGCGTATTAAAAAGTACAAGTGTGTGTTAGAGAAAAAAACTTTGGTTTTGTGAATAAGCCTTGCAAAATTCCATGCACAGCATCCTGATAACAGATGTCAGCCTAGCTCATATAAACTAATAATAATAACAATAATAAAATACAATCATAATAAAAATCACCCACAACAGTTTACAGCACAGCACTGGACTGGTACCCCTGAATGACAGGAGGAAGAGGAGGGAGACACTGCAGGTCCACAAGAAGCGTCTGACTTCAATTAATACATTTGAAAGGGAGGAAACTAACGTAGATAAACGAGTGGCAGGAGAAACGTCAGGCTATACGCCACAGAATCCTACAGAAGCTCATTAAAGATGCTGCAATTAACGCACATCACGCTGGTGCCGTGGCGACACTGCGTCCGGCCCCAGCAGCGTGCGGCCAATTTAGCGGACAGCGCGGTTGGCTGGACGTCTCCGCAGCTTAATGAGAGATTCAGAGCCTGTGCCTCGCTGCAGCACTGTGGCAACGGTGCTGATTTGATCCTTTACGGCGCCGAGGCGTGCCCGTGTACACGCATGAATGCCCGTGGAGCAAGAGGTGGTCATGCACCTGTGCCGTGTGATTAAGGGTGAGGCGGAGCACCGCAGATCAGCGAGCAGCAAGGCGGCCTCACACCTCTGGGGTCTGGGGTCAGGGGTCAGGCCGAAAGCTTGCACATTCTTTGAAGGCCTATGCGGACTTCCTCCCACGCCCCCGAAACATGCGGCTTACAGGCGATTACTCTCCGAATTGTCCACAGTGTTTACACTAATAAGGGCGTCCCCTATGCTTCCTATAGAGGTCCCCTCCATAGGCACTGGATATGTGGTCATGGGAACCAAAGTACATAATACCCCCACCAAAGTATATTCACCCAACAATGATTCCATCCATCCATCCATCACTCCTACAACCTTTATCATTGTGTTTTACAGCAGAGCTCGTAAACAAAACGCTTGCCTTCCCTCTCGCACCCTGAGTCGCCTCGTTAGTGGCTCATCGCCTAATCCTCCTTCATTAAAGCCTTCGTCTGCAAACAAACCACAGACGACAGCAAAATAGGAAGCAGACAGCAGATTTTACACACATTTCTGCTTCACTCGGAAGGACCAAGGGATTTTTCTGTCAAGACACAGTAAAAGTTTTACCACATCTTAATGACTTTGGCAAATTATGAAACAAAATGAAAAATATATAAATAATTATTAAAAAAAAGCACATAATGGATAATAAAAACCATCATTAAAAAACAAGTATTAGCAGGGATGTTTTGGGTTTTAAATAGGTCAGTATGGTTTGGGTATGGTTACCAAACACAGAACAGGCATTTAAATCATTTGTTGTTAATGGTGCTCTGGCGTATTCTCTCCAGGTCCGTGTGGGTACAGTCCACAGTCCAGAAACACAGTCAGGCATACAGGGCTCTAAACTGTCATTAGTGTCTGACTGAGCGTATGCCGTGATGGACTGGCATCCCATCCTCGCTGTCCCTGTGCCCTGTGATGGACTGGCAACCCATCCACGCTGTCCCTGTGCCCTGTGATGGACTGGCAACCCATCCACGCTGTCCCTGTACCCTGTGATGGACTGGCAACCCATCCTCGCTGTCCCTGTACCCTGTGATGGACTGGCAACCCATCCACGTTGTCCCTGTGCCGTGTGATAGACCGTCATGCCATTCATGCTGTCCTTGTGCCCTGTCCATTCTGGGATAAGCTCCAGGCTCAGCACGATCATGTCCTGGATAAGCATTTATTGTAAATGGATGGAGGTATGCTCCAATGTGGGCTCTTTGGGGAACTGAAGATTTTAAAATTTGACACAAGGCACAAACACTTTTGTGGTTCTAGGTTTTACAGGCGAGTCGGATTCACAGGATTTAGCACTAAATTCAAATAAGCTGCAGTACCTTTAACAGTAGCAGGAACACACACAAAGCACGTTCACTTTCCCAAAAGGCCAAATACTAAACCAGGCGTGACAAGACACCGGGAAGCAGCTATCGGAACCAAAAACCACCGTGAACATCACCACGGAGCTGGATCTGCACACGCCCACCCCCTGCCCCCCCCCCCCCAAACATCCCGCAATGCTGAAGCCCTTGTTATTCTGCACACACAACGCCTACTAAACAAATGTGGCACTGCTCATTTACAACAAAGATACATGCAGAGACACAGAGACATTTTAACATACTCCAGATGAAGCCCCACAGCAGAAATCTGTGCCCTGTGGAGTCCTGCCTAATGCCTTTGAGCTTCAGAAATAATTGCTGACAAACATAAGGAAAAAACAACAGCAGTGACAAAGTAAACAAATAAATAAATAAGCAAACAAATAACAGACAAATAAAATAAATAACAGACAAATAAATAAAAAAACAAATAACAGTTCCCGTCTAGTTTTACATCTAATGACACTGGGTGCTCATTAAATTCAAACTCTGCATATAGTGGGTAGGCCCCGTCGTCTTTCAAATCAGGCTGCATTTGGATGACAGAACACGACACTGCTGGCTGCTGCTGTTTATCTTACGCTTGTTCTTAAGAGTCTCACGGTCCCCTGGATGAGAAGAAAGCACAGACTATGTCTTTGACTCGCCACGAGGAGAAAGATTAGAGTGAGAAATGTCATAACTACAATCAGCCAGTAGGTGGGGCCATGGTTAAAGACACCAGATTAAGTTCCAGGAACTGACCCTGCTATGTTTATCCAGAAGCTATCTGAACTTTCATGTCTTTGAGGTTCTTTACAAAACACGCCTCTGTTGGCTCTGTTGAGGTTTGGCTCATATGGACACAAAGTTTAAAATTAAGTGCAAATTTCAGCATAATGGTCAAACTTTCTGCAGTAGATAATATTAGACAGAGCCGTTTTCATGAAAGGTGCAGACCACAGTGAGCTAATGGTCATTAGGTACCTTTAACAAAGATGGTGTGAAATCCTTTATTCTTTTTTTCCCCCATCTCATTGTTGAACAGCTCCCAAGTTTTTGCACAAGTATTTTTTTTGCACAGTGTTAAAATTAATCTGGAAAGATGCGAATCAAAAACCCACAAAAATGGCTGAACCTTGGTGCAAAGAAAGCGGAGAAGTGAAAGGTCAAAAATCTAGGTATTTGAGTACAATGAACATTTTATTCAAAGGGGAATGACAAGGTGACGGAGGGTCTTCTTGGTGCGGTCGTCTGACTGATCATTAACAATCGTCACGGAAATGCCGGAAGAATGAGGGGGGATTGAGGGCAGAAACAGCTCTGCTGGGAAATGTGAGGTCACGGTCACCACGGCGATGGTCCTGCGAGCACCTGCCCGCGTACAGCTCGATACGGGAGGGCTGAGCTCTCGCAGCCCATCGCCTCCGGGCGGCCAGGCACTTCCCGTGCTTTTATCTCCCAAGCTCCTCTCCCTTCTCCGAATCTCCATAATATAGGCAAAAAATAAAGCATCCCACTCAGAGCTGGAAATTTTCAGAGACACTGCGAGGTGGGTAAGGAGATGACACACAAAAACACAGCGCTGGAGATCAGAGGACAGAGGAACGCTATTCTGACACAGCGGGGAACTCTGCAGGGAACAGAGAGGCAGATGCAGAGGAGAGCAGAGGCAGGGGCAGATGAGCGGAGAGGAGAGGAAGATGAAGAGGAGAGAAGAGGCAGACACAGAGGTAGGGGAGAGTAAGACAGTAGAAGGGAGAGGCAGATCCAGAGGACAGGAGAGGAGAGGTAGACGCAGAGGCAGGTACAGAGGGGAAGAAGAGGAGAGACAGACAGACACAGAGGAGAAGGAGACACAAAGTAGAGGCAGATGTAGAGCAGAGGCAGACACAGGCCCGGACTGCCTCACCTGGAGTAGTTGAAGAGCCGGCTGCCCCATAGGCTGTGCTCCCCACGTGGTCCTGAGTGGAAGAAGCAGGAGTCGGTGCCATCGAACAGGTTTAGGCCGTCCTCCGTGTTCTTGGAGGCGTGACTGTGGACCACGTCCAGCAGGACCATGATGCCCAGGGAGTGTGCCACGTCGATCAGCTCCTTCAACTCATCCGGGGTCCCATAGCGGCTGTTCGGATACACCCCCCGACAGCCCCGGGACCACAAGATACATCACTTTCCCGCCCGGTTCTAAGAAAGCAAGAAGCGATTGCCTGCAAAAATGCCTTCAATATTGTTTTTATAATTCAGTATTCAGGCAACGGGAAAAAATAATCCCGAGAAACCTTTCTACAAACAACACATCAATTTTCATATGTACCTCGTCCAGAGAATATACTGCCAGAATCACATACGCAGGGTGCGAAATATGGCTTACATTAAATATAATTTACAGTTTACACTCAAGCTGTACTTTACACTTTTTTTTATAGATAACATAAGCACACAATCTTATGATCTATTCATTTAAAACTGACTCCACATTACTACATTTGCCTGTATACTAAATATTTTAGGCAAATGCTTCTTTCCAAGTAAAATACACCGAGAGCCAGAAAAAAAGAATAATTCACTAGCTAACAAATCAGCCATTCACTGGTAAATTGAAATGACAGCTTTTTCCCTCTCAAACTTAAAGTGCCAGAACATCCTCAGACTTTCGTTTTTCTTTTTTTTCTTTGCAGAGTTCCTTCGCATCTCTCGCCTGAGCGGTCCAAACAGAATAGCAAACGACCCTTTGTGACTGCCCCCCCCCCCCCAAAAAAAAATATTTTATCTGGGTCACAGAAATCCCAAGAGAGGCGGCCGCATTTCCGGAAGGTTCTTGTCCTCCGGCCAGCAGTGAGCGGTTTACCTTGACGCGGCGAAGAAGCTGGTGACCTGGTAACCGAAGCTGGCATAGTAGGCATGTTCCATGATGGCCATCAGCTGTATGCAGTTATAGCCTGGGGAGGAACAGCGGGCACAGATGAATCAGCACCCTGCACTTAACCACCCTGCCTAACCTGGAAAGGGCCCCACCCCCTTCATAGTTCCTACAGATCTGCGTGGGAGGAATCTCGCTTAATTAGAGATGATTGTTTCTGACAGCCGCTCTAGGAGGTTTGGGTAACGGCGGCACCTCGCGGCTCCTGGCTGGGGGGTCTGTAGGGCATGGAGGGTTAGCATGTTTCCCGCTGTGACTCCTCCATGCGGGATCCTTCAGAGGCTCCGGATTCCTCCCACAGTCCAAAGACATGCAGGGGAACTGCTGTAATTCCTCTAAACAGCCCACAGTGTCTGATTGTGTGTAGGAGTGCACACTATATGGCCAGAAGTATGTGGACACCAGCTTGTCTTGCATCTCATTCCAAATGCAGTGATATTAATATGCAGCTGGTCGGCCCTTTGCTGCTGTAATATCCTTTACTCTTCTGGGAAGGTTTTCCATTAGATGTCAGAACATTGCTGGTGGGACTAGCGGCTATTCGGGTTAGGTATGGATGTTGGGTGATCAGGTCCCGTTCTGTCACATTTTTACCTTCACAGTCAGCTCACTGGTGGTTGACCAGGGCTGCTGTGGAGAGCTGACCTGTCGGAAAGATGGCATCCTATGATGGTGCCAAGTGGAAAGTCACTAACTGTACGGCCACTAATCCTGCTGCTATTGATCGCTGCAGGAGATTATGTGACACCCTGTGCTTAACTACACGCCGTTGTCAGCAATTCCTACAAGGGATAGGGGTGCCCACATACTTTTGGCCATAGAGTGTGTATGAAGCAGGGCGCTCTTCTGCCCCCGGTTATTCTGTACTGCATAATTGTGTAGAAGATGGATGGAGAGATAAACAACTGTCCATGGCTGTGCATACTGTCGACGGGGAAAAGAAAGCCTGGAAGCCCCAAAGAATAAGTGAAGTTGCACTTTTTTAGCACTCTACTTCCCAGGAGTTTTAGGCGGTCAGTCAAAAGGCAAGAGTTTAGGTCCTTGGAGGATCTATCCGTTTCAAATCTCGAAATACCGCTGCCGCGGCACGGAAAGGTTTATTCCCAGAGAGGATTTCTGGGTCGAGCAACCAAACCGAACGATCCACGTCACAAAAAGGAATTACTTAGATGTGGATCTTTAGAGTGTTGGATCTTAGTCTGCTATGTTGACTTTGCTGGTGACATCTAGGACTACGACCGGCCTCAATTCAGCAAAACACTATTCGTGGTGGGAGGATGAGGACCAGCTGGGATTGCTGGGTTTTTAGGTTGGGACCTGCGGTTATTGAACAGATGAGTCATCTTGCTCTGCAGGAATTCACCAGGAGAATCACCCGGCAACTTCTTCAGGCTGTGTGCTAAGCTACTAAGCTGCCAATCACCCCCACATATCCACGCTGGCCTGAAAGAGGTCCCACAGTAACAGCGACAGTGTGCTTCGAGTTATAAAACTGGCATGAATACCACCACTCTCTGAGCGCCACCCCCCCCCACCCCTCCCAATTTCCCCAGATTTGTCCTTAGCCTGGTTTCATCGCCGCTCTACAAACAAAGCGTGTCCCAACGCTGGGAAACGAGTCCCAGAAGGGTCACGGAAGTGCTGACGAAGTGAGTTGCTTGATTTACACGACTCCGCAGCCCTGGGTGCTGAGGACTCCAGGGTAGCTGGAACGCTGATTAAAAACTGACAGGCAATAAAGCATCCCACGATACTCGCTCTCTGTCCCTGTGACCAGATAGCATATTGGTTTACTATGTTTTTCAGAGCACAGGAATGAACAATACGGATCTATCATCCATCCATCCTTCCATCAGCTTATCTTGGGTCAGGAGTTATGGAGCGATCATCCGTCCATTATCGAGTACAAGATTGCAGTGAAGAATATACCAAGAAGCAAAAGGTAGGGGGATGCCAAGGAGAGGATACCACTCTGGAATTTTTAGAGTAACTGTTTAGTAAACATGCAAGGAGTCCAGAATCTGTATCCGGCAATAAGAGACAGCGATGCAAGCTAATTGTTGCTTGAATTTATAGAGAAGTTTCAGATTCCTGATTTTGATTCAGTTGAGATAACCCTTTACGTCACATGGCGCCAAGATTAAAGGCGGTTTCGTTTGATTTCATCACTCACCGAGATCTTTGATTCGAGGCAGCACATTGGCTGTGAAGTTGGTGTAAGACGCCACTTTCCCCTCGGGGGAGGCGATCCCAACGTGGGACTCGTATATCCTCAAGCTCCTTGGCTTCTTGGGGCGAGGGTGGGTGGCCTGAGGGAAGGGGACCACGAATTCGTACAACGGAATTATTCTCAGCAATATCGCAGGACGGAGCCATCCGACGGGGCACACAAATAAATCCTCGTCTTCAGAAATTCAGAAAGGCAGGCTCCTTTTAGCCTTTTTTCAAGCGTATCCTTAGAGAGAAACATCTCCATGTACTCACCTGATAAGGGTGCGGGGGGTCCCAGTGCACCCAGTCGTAGATGACAGCTGTGTCCATCTGCGTCACATATTTGGCCCAGGGCGAAATGCGATACAGTCGTTGGTGGTCTTTGGAGTGCACCACCACCTGGGCAAGCAAAACAAGCAGCTGGACTTTCCACCGTATCGTTGAGAAAAGCACTACAGCGACAGGGCGTCCATCTGTGCACACCCAGAAGATACAGAAGGCACGGACGCAGGAGCTGCTGCAGGAATTACCCAACCTCCGGACTGAGCCCAGCTTAATCCCCTCTGCAGAGGGATCAAAAGGGTCGGGCGGCTTTCGGCACCTACAAATGTCAGCTCCGCTCCGTGGCGGAAATCAATTTGCGGATGCGTTTGTTTAGAGGTCGGAGATGGATCATGTAAAGGAGCCCATTATTGCCGTTTCACTTTCTAGTCACAGGACTCAAATCCAGGAGCACCCAGGCAGCTATCCCTGCATTAAAGATACAGACAGCGAGTGGTAACAGCACTGACATGTTAAGGGGCCAGGCTGTCAAGGAGGCTCTCGCTCAAGTAACAGATGGGCAGCATTAGACACAAAGTTAGACCCTAATTATCACCACTCTACTTCCGTCAAAGATCGAAGGAATCCCATCACGCAACGGGAAGCACCCAGAGCTGCAACACGATCATCTTCCTGTCCTCTCTTGGAATCCCAATGACTAAGCCTGGGGGGTTTAATATTAACCACTTAACACTTTACACATCTATCATCCATCACCCATAACTGGTGGCCCAGCAGAGGGTCACAAAGCGCTTGGAAATTATGTCAGGAAGCTCAGGGCATGAGGCAGGGGATGCTCTGGATGGCAAACTGGTCCATCCCATAGCACACTGTCACACACTGTCACACACTGTCACTCACTGTCACAGATCATTTTTTGGCCTGTGGGAGGATGAAGGAGGGGCCAGCAGAAAGCCCGTGCCAACAAGGGAAGAACAAGCAAGACACACACTCACACACAGGGACACACACTTTTGTATTTGTAACGTTGTGGGGACCGTCCAATCATTTCTTTGGGAAAAACCCTAATCCTAACTATAACAACCTTAACCCCACTCAGCCCTAACCTTACCTATAAGTAACCAAATAAAATACAAATCAATTTTTTGTTTCCAGTCACAGATTCTTATAAAATGTAGTATCCTCTTGAGGGGACTGAAAAGCTGGTCCACACAACATCAAAATAAAATGTTTTTATTACATTGTGGGGAAGATTTGGTCCCCACAATAAAACATGGACGTAACCCTCACACACACACACTCACAGAGCCAGGAGCGGGAATTAAGCCACAACCCTGGAGTTGTGAGGTCATCACAACATTGATCAACAATTTATTATACACAAATCAAAGGGAAAGACAACTTAATTATTCAATCTGATGCAATATCTATCCTTCCTATAGATGATGCAGTAATCTGTCAGTCTCCTCCCACAAACTGGTTTGCATCCATCTTAAACAAGGGTGGGTCAGGAGAGTTCATGGGACACATTTGGCTTAAAAACGGATTGTAGCCTAGCGAGGCGTCCCCACGTGGCGAGCGCAGAGTGTGCCCCTGAAGGGCTCACGGAGCAGCCGTACACATCCCTGCAAATCTAATTTGCCGCAGAGGTGGACCGGCGGGCTTTTAACACGCGGCCCGCGCTCAGGCGGGACTTTTTCAATGTCAGCTCGCCGTCAAAAGCGTAATTGGATTTTACTTCCATCACGGCTCGTTCTTCTGCTCTCCCAGAGAGCGTTTTTCAGAGATGGGAAAGGTCATTTCAGGCCTAATGACGTTCCAGCTGGTCCGAATCTCGGCCCGCGTACCTAGATGTTCTGCATGGTGCTACGACGGGTTGCGCTGATTATGCCGATTGTTAATTGAGTCCCAATTGGTTCTGAAATGCAGTCTTCATTCCATCTTATTTTAACCACTACTTCACTCCCTCAGATACCGCCTATTAAGACCCCCCCCCCCTCAAAAAAAAAGAAAAAGAAAATAAACTGAAGTTTATCAAGTAATAAAAATTATTTTAAAAGACCTAGATCTTTTTTTTGTGGAGGGGGGGGGGGGTGCATTAAAGCTATTTGAGGCTATAAAAGTTAGATGATGGATGCTGACAATATCCACTGTCAGACAGCCACTCTGTTAACGGAGTGCGGCACCCAACTCAAAGGAAGTCTATAGTGCTTGTGGAAAGATAATTATCATCAAATACGTTTAAAAGGTTTTCTGTTATACGTCTTAGACTGGTGCCCTAATGGGAGAAAAAGTGGCACCTGTGCTCACAGACCAGCAGATACTGCCAGGTAGCTGAGGAAGAGGCCAGCTGGGTCACACCCTGCGGGCAGACGAGTGACTGGGGGGGCTTTTAACAGCCACACTCACCCCTCCCCAACGTGGCACATAGTCAGGGCAGCCTGGGAAACACCACAGGCCGGAGAGCAGCAGGGCATGGCTTGCCACATTGTGCCGTAGCGGAGGTGTTGGCTGCCTGCCAGCACCTGCCCACAATACGCCATCCGCCGCCTGCCTCAGCCTTCGCTCGACGGCTCCCTCTACTGGCAAAACGTGGCAGGGACCATCACATGCTTTTATGGGACTACAGAGTGGGGCAGGACAATGGAAGGACAAACGCAGGCAGGGAGCCCAATGAAAGCACAGAAAACATTCTTTTTTAAAGAGGCGGGGCCAATATATGAACGATAGATCCAACATGGGGATGGAGGCTTCCCAAAGATCAAGAAGAACAGTTAATGAAACGATAAGAGGATTAATTAATGACAGAGAAATGTATAGAACAGGTCCTTGCTCTCCAATACATTTCCAAGTTAGTCTGTATCTTTTAAATCTTTTATCTTCTAATTTAGGATTTTGCAAAGAGGGATGGCCCCCCCTAGGGGGGGGTGGGTCAGGATGACCGCAGAGATGAGTGGTATGAGGGCTGCTCTCTAATGATCATTTTCGGGATGATTTGCACGATTTCTGGATTCCTGCACGCGAGGGTCACAGAGGTGAAATCCTCACTGCCGCTTTCTCATGCGCTTCCCAAAATATAGCATCACAATTCCCATCAAACGATAAACATGCTGCTGGAATGGAGCTCAGACAGCCTCTTTGCCTTTGTCAGTGCCCTGGTCGGCCCGGTGAGGATGTACAGGGATTACAGTTAAACTGCTGTCCTCGGTAAACAGGGCGTCCGTGTTTATGCTAAAGACCCCTGATCCAGCTGAACTTTCAACTCGTGGGGAGGCAGTGAGTCCCCTCTGGCCAATTAAGAACGACTGGATCAATTTAACCATTTACGTATACACCAACGAGCAAAAAGACACTATAACTATCCCCGCGTGACGTGAATAATGCTGACTATCTTGTGAAAATGGAGCGTGTCGACGTCTGGGATATATTAAAACGGTAAGCTGACACTCGGTGCTCATAGTCGACATGTTTAATGCATAAGGGGCCAAATCATTAGGGTGAGCCGACTGGGTCAGAGGATCTCCGAGGCGGCAAGGCTTGTGGTGTGCTTAGGGTCAGCCGAGGCAAGGAGCTACGGAGAGCGGACTGAGGAGGGAAAAACCATGAACTGCTGACAGGATGCTGGACAGCATAAACAGGAGAACTCTGCTAGTATCTTGACTGTCCACAGTCACACCAACTTCTACGCACGGGAGTTAAGGGAAAAAAGATGACTGACCTTCAGCTTAGACAGGTGAGGAACTGCTGGGGTCTTGTCCTGCTTGGGGGGCAGATACAACTCCCATTTGCCAAACTCCTTCTTGGTGTAGGGGTGAGAGAAGTTGTCCCAGCCATCTGGCAGGGAAAGAGGCACAAGAGGCTTGCTTACTGGGAGAATTCACCAAGAAAGATAGGCCTTCTTACTGTTTAATGCAACAGCAACTCATAACAGAACGGCATGCAAGTTCATCTTTAATAAAGTTAGCGCTCAACATGCCTCTGTGCATGTTGAAATTTTTATTTGTCAGACCACAGGACAGTTTTCCGTTTTGCCTCAGTCCATCGTCAATGAGCTCAGGCCCAGAGACGTCGGCGGCGTTTCTCGATCATGTTTCCATATGGTTTCTTCGCTGCATGGTAGAGGAGTTTCATCCTGATTTGTGGATGCAGCAACAAATCTGTTCACAGACAATGGATTGTGGAAGTGTTCCGGAGCCAATGCAATGATTTCCACTATGGAATCGCCTGAGGACCAGAAGATCTCGGCTATCCGATATTGGTTTTAAGCCTTGTCCCTCATGCTTTTTTCCAGGTTCTCTGAATCTTTTAATGACATTAAGTACCATGGATGATGAAATCCCCAGAATATTACATTGAGGAACATTATTCTTAAAATTGTTGCACTATTTTGCCACGCTTTCCCAGTCTTTCACAGAATGATGAACCTCTCGTCATCTTCACTGCACAGAGACTCTGCCTCTCTGGGAGGCTCTTTTTATACCCAATCATCTTACTGACCTGTTGTCAATTAAACTAATAACCCAGGTGTTTTGTTTTAGCATTACACAACTTATCCAATCTTTTCTCATCCCTCTCCCAACTATTGTCAGCGGTGCTGCTGGCATCAAATTCAAATTGAGAATATTTGTCATAAAAAAATTTAATGTTTCAGCACTTGGTATGTTGTCTTTCTACTATTTTCGATTAAATAAGGGGTTATATGATTTGCAAATCATTGCATTATGTTTTTATTTACATTTTACACAGCATCCCAACTTCCTTGGAAACAGGGTTGTAAATCACATCTTTATGCTCATACAGCTTGATAACTAGCCTGGGTAATTCAGTAACTGTTTTTAGGGCAGCACCAGGGCCTCTAGATCAGGCATCCAGACCAGAGCATGATCTGAATAACCATGCAGGCTGACTGCAATTTTCACAGCACATACATTGATATAATGACCAAACCCCCTTATTATTAACAAGAATTCCAATGAAGTACTCTCTGATTATCAGTCATTTCACCCATCCATCCATCCTCAAAATGCCTTGTATTGCCCAGGCCCACAAGGAACCTGGAGCCTATTCCAGGAAGCACAGAGCAGAAGGCAGGAGACACCTAACACAGAGTGTCAGTCTCTCGTAGGACATAAACATAAACAACCAAAAGGCAATTTATTGACACCAATTCACCCAATCCATCCGCGTTGCTGCCTTTCTGTCCCTTCCTTGCATGTACTCCATGTCTCGACCAACATCCAGATGAAAGCAGCCCAGCACCTTTCACCAAAGTTCTGAGGAATCCATCACAGTGAGGTCACTGCTGCACTCCCCGAGGGCCGGTGAAGCCTGGCGGCTGGGGGCTGGGGGCTGGGCACATTATCCCCGTGTGCGATGGCAACCGGATCAGCCCCGCCGACACAATGATCCATGCCAACGCTCATTAAAACACTCTGAGGCTCGCGTCCTCCTCGACGGGTACTGCACAGCCAAACAATGGGGGACCTCAATGATAAACCTGTCACATGCTCCCAGCCACGGCAAAATGCCCGACTCCCTGGGAAATACAGCCCATAAGACCCTAAAACCTTACGCATCTCACTTCAGAGACCTTATTTCAGATCAGTGCTTTAACTTTATGTGGCAGCTTATGCCAGAAAAGATTACAAAATCAGTAACAATAACTGTAAGGAACAGCAGGCATAAGTCTGAAAAGACTATAATTTTGAATGCAATTACTGCTTGCATTACAGGTGAAAAGAATGAAATAACAGTAATTATTTATATGGCTGGCAGGACCCATTTGCTTCCACCTCAGCACCCAAACTTACACAGCTCAGTGTTTGACATATTTATGTATTTTTAAAGCATTTTGACAATATGTACTGGAAAAGGGGGCATATGCGCCAGACACCCCGTAAAAAGCTATTGGTTTCAGTTTTGTCTCATGTGAAGTGTCTTGATTTCAAAGAACTGTAACTTTGCATTAAATCTTTAAATGGTCAATCTGTATACTTTATATCTCATGCCCTGTGATAGGCTGCCATCCCATCCCAGTGTTCCCAGCCCTGAGGCCTGTGCTTGCTGGGACAGGCTTCCCGTAATCCAGTACCGGTCAAGCAGATAAGGCAGGTTGGTGGATGTCTCTTATGCAGTATTTGATCTTTTAATAAATAATGACAAACTTCCAACAGGGGCAGGCAAGTCCATATCAATGGGATGCCTCTGTGTGCATTAATGTAGCCGTTGTAAAGCCAGGAACACAGCATTCTGATACACAGCAATCAAGAAAACACGACTCTGCTTATTACAGCTGTCATGATTACTCAATTACTCAATTTTAGAACTAATTTGAATATTCCTTCTTGATTACCTTGCAATATGGCAGATGGAGGACGGAGCATAGCGGACAAGGGTCCCAGTAAAGAGTGAAAAGCCTCAGCTTTGTGCCAGCAAATCACATTAAAAGTGAATGACAAAGTGTCAGACTTGCAAAGAAAAATTTAAATATCACAACAGCATGACTGCAATGCAAGTACATCTTAAAAGACTGCATCCACAGACTCACCTAATACTGCGAGGTAGACTGTCTGGGGGTCCCTGAGGACCGGCTTGGGAAACGCCGTTATAGGGAGCAGGACATGACCTACTAGCAGGGAGGGCTGCCCATAAGGGGGGAGAAAAGGGAGGACACTAGTGATGAGGGCAAGAGGAATGATTTTACTTTCAGGGCTGGGCCAATACCAAATACCTTACTATTGAACTGAATCGGATCGATAAAATCAGCGGTATTGCCCATCTCTGCTATAAGCAATGCTTTTTGGCCTTCTGGGTAGCCTTGCCTGTCTTTGTCATCAGTTGGGCTGAAAATATTTAACTTAATTTACTTTGAGATACAGGAATCACACAATCACTGCTAAAACAAAGACAATAGTGACAGCCCTACTGCTTAATCTGCTGACCACAGAACAGCAGTCTCCTGATACTGTAGATTCTCCCACATATCATCAGGAAAATCCGGCCTTTTTTCAGTATGCACCTTAGCTTCCTGTCCAGACACTTGTCATTTTAGGACTTGACTACTTCATGTCTCTGCTAGCAGGTTTACCAGCTTATGCTGTCACAGCGCTAAAGATGATACATCCGGCACCCAATCAGCCTAAATGCTCACTGTCACACCCCTCCTCTCTCTTAATTGGCTCCCTAGGCACTAAGGCTGGGCCACATGGCAACATATTGTATCGTGATACATTTTTTCATATCAGCCGACACTGATAATTATCACAATACAATAACCCAGCCACTGGGGATGGCCAAGCCAACGTAGTTCTTCATGCCAGTACCAAGCTGAATACATGGGGAGGGCTGTGTCAGGATGGGCATCCGGTGTGAGGAGAGGAGGAAGGGTAGGAGATGGAAGCGAGGTGTTGGCAGTATGACTGGTAAAGGGAGAGAGCTGACTGATATGATGGGGAGAAGGAAAGTGTGAATGAGACCAGAAAGAAGGGGAGTAAGGCAAGGCCAGGTGTATGGGAGGTGGTTTCAGATTGTCTTTTATCATGGTGTGGATGGGAGGAGACATGAGGGAGGGATTATCCTGAAGGAAGAGTATGTCGAGAGTGTTTTGGAGGTGGAAAAGTGTGTCAGAGAGTGATGAGTATAAAGCTGGAAAATGAAGGCATGATGATGAATGATGCTCATGCACATGCCCCACAAGTTGGATGTGAGATAGATGAGAAAGAAGGATTCTGGAGTGAGTTGGATGAAGTGGTTGAGAGTCTACCCCAGGGAGAGAGAATGGTGATTGACCTCGTGCTTAGGGAAGTGTGCTTGTCATCAGAAGGTACCACTGAGGTACCCAAAGTGAGGTATTGTCCCCATGCAGTGCTCCCTGGCTGATAAATAATAGCTACCAACTGCTATGGCACATATGCAGAAGACACATCTCAGTGTTGTGCACTGTGTGCTGTGGTGTGTTGACAATTAATCACTCTCCCTCACTCTTTCACTGGATCAGACTTCAATGGGCATGCTGGTGAATGGAACAGTGATGATGAGGAGGGTAGGTATGGTGTCAAGGAGAGGAAGGTCAAATGGCAGGATGGAAGTGGCTGTTGTGAACACATACTTTAAGAAGAGGAAGGAGCACAGGGTGACATAAAAGAGTGGAGGATGAGACACACAGGTGGATTATATCCTGTGCAGAAGGGTTAGTCTGACGGAGATTCGGAGACTGCAAAGTAGTGCCAGGAGAGGGCATAGCTAGGCGACACAGGCCGGTGGTCTGTAGGATGAATTTGGAGATCAAGAAGAGGAGGAGAGTGAGGGCCGAGCCAAGGGTCAAATGGTGGAGATTGAAGATGGAGGACTGAGATCAGGGAGGGGTTAAGACGGGACCTGGGGGGCGGTGAAGAGTTACCAGACAGCTGGTGAGGGAGACAGCTAGAAAGGTGCTTGGTGTGACTTCTGGCTGGAGGAAAGAGGACAAGAAAACCTGGTGGTGGAATGAGGAAGCGCAGGAAAGTACACAGAAGAAGGGGTTGGCGAAGAAGAAGAGAGATAGTCAAAGAGATGAAGTAGACAGGAGTACAAGGAGATGAGGCGTAGGGTGAAGAGATAGGTACCGAAGGCTAAAGATAAGGTATAGATGTATGAGAGGTTGGACACTAACGAAGGAGAAAAGGACCTGTACCAACTGGCTTGGCAGAGGGACTGAGCTGGGAAAGATGTGCAGCAGGTTAGGGTGATAAAGGATAATGACCGAAACATACTCACAAGTGAGGAGAGTGTGCTGAGCAGATGGAAGGAGAACTTTGAGGGGTTGATGAATAAAGAGAATGAGAGAGAGAAGGTTG